ATCTCTTCCTGCTCTCTATATCAGTATTAATAGCTAATCAGACTGTCTCGAGATATCATGTACTATTTGTGAATATGGTGCCCTCTGAATATGGTGCTGGTGTTATTGGTGGAGCAACCGTAGCAACCTTCCGTGATCTAGGACTCAGTTGACGAAACCTCTTCATAATGTTGCAACATACGCACGGCTTCAGTTAAAAATGAAATATTTCTAAAGCCCAAGTGTTGTTGTTCAGCTTCACCAGGATGAGAATATCTTCTCGATCAGTTTCTAATATGCTTTATCACTGCTTTATTGTTATAGTATAAACACTTAGACTTTTGTACTGGTTCTCTGTTAGTAGGTCTAGGTCTGTTATACAAGTTTTCTTATTCTGAATATATTAACATTTGTGCAAAATCCGTAAAGTTATTTGTTTCATTTAACTCTCCGGATGCATCAATTTAGATTTTTCAAAATTTAGTTGTTAATTAGTTATTTTTATATAATTTATGTGCATTGTGACTGGTTTTTAACAAATGTAATTACACCCACATATAAATTTTATGACTGAACATTCACAAAGCTATAGTTTTATGTGTGTGTATGTACAAATTGTATTTGTAGTCTTTCAAGTTGCATTTCATGGTAAAAGAACAATTTACATTATGTGATATTTTATTAACATTCTGTCTATTTCTGGGTTAGCTTTGAATAATGTATTGCAATACAAACAACAAGTTTGTTCTGTTAATGGAATTTTGTGGACATTAATTATTTTCTAATATACGGAATTTCAGAGTTTAATTAGTATTTATGACCTAATTGTTGTCTCCCGATGGTTCAATGTTATGAGGGTTTATAACAATAGAGTTTGGTGTTCAGTTCTAGCTCTTCCACGAGAGAGGGTTTGAGTCAACAGTGTTGGTGATATGTTGGTATGTAGTTTGGGAATGGTACTATTAAGAGCAGAATTTATCCTTAAAACTTTCAAAGGTATGTCTGTAGTTAGAAAATATAAAAGTATACTGCTCAAAACAATTACAAGATTATTGGAATTAATGTTGTTATAGCAATTATAAAGCAGAACAACTTATAAAATAATGCCAATCACTATCTCAGTTCATTGTTATAATTATCAAGTATCTGATAATTAGGCAGGGGATTTGAAATGTAAATGCTTGTCATTCAAACTCTACTGTATATTTTGGTCTTAATAAATCATGTTTCAGTCGTGAATTTAAAATGAATCACAAAGTTCAACGAATTACAAATTTCCCATGAGTCATAGCTGGGCATTAAAAAAAGACATCTGAATTTTCACTCACGCGAAGAATTATCAGACAATTGGATGCCAACCAATCACAATAGATTGTTGAAAATATGCTTCGAGTGTCGGAAAAAGTCACTAGTAGAATGGGGTACAGCTTCCAAATTACTGGTAAATTGATCAGGTATCCGAACAAGGCAGATCGTTGTCAATCACACAAACAGACGACCATTATCTGATAATTCTGACTCACCTCAGTCATAGGGTATAGTCTCTGAAATTGAATCAGATCTTCATATGCAACATAAATATTGTGTCAGTGCAAAGATAGTTAAAATCAGTCTTCACAAGACTACCCTGTATTCCAACTGCCAAATGAGATGCATTTCAGTCATATGAGAGTTAAAAAAAAGCAAAAAAAAAACAGCTCATGTGCAACTTGGGGAAGAACAAATCCATTGGGCAACAACGTGTGCAGCAATAATCTCTGTTCATAGGAGTTACACTTCACCCAGTAAACATATAAGGGGTTTATACACATTGGACAAAATCTGGAACTATATTTCCCACATTTTCAAAGAGGAACGTGGTGGTAGTAGAAAAATGCAATTCTTATACCAAGTATAAGAATAGGTGAACATATTGAATTTACATCCTGTAAAATGGTACCATTAATGCCATACATTATAGCTGCCACATCCTAAGACCATTTGTGTTACCACATGCAGATACACTTGGCCCTGATGTCAGTCTAATGGGTGATAATATCCACCACAACAATGTTAAACTGGTCAATATATTCCTTAAAGACGAAGAAAATGTTTTTAGGTAGTGATCTTCTTGCTTACTGGACTTCAATCTCTAGTGCATTTTTCTGAAGGACGAGTGAAAAAAAAACTGAAGACTTTATCGACATTCCGATTTTAGCGTGTAACATTGGTGCTTGGCTACCTGTGCTTTTTGTGATTACCGTTTGTCATATTGAAGCGAAATGCTGCGATCTGAAAAGATGAAAAACCAAATCTACCAATTATTTATTTTTGAGCATAGGCCGAATGACAGTAATTTGAATTTCAGATTGTATAACTGATTTCAGGTGCCTGATCTGCATTAAACTTAGTTTCATAGGCGAGTGATATTAGTTCATAATACTGGTTTTGCCCTATCTTAGTTATATTACAAATTTCGATTATTCTTTAGTTGTTTTGACCAGTGTATTAATATGATCCATGTATTTCAAAATCAAGTCACTTTTCAATGTTTATATCCTTTTTCACATATAATCAGGATAAATCAATAGCAAGTATTTGCAATTAAAGTAATTAATCATGTATATTCATAAGATATGAAATTAAGTCAATAATATAATAAGCCATAAAATTCTCTGTCTGTCTTGCTGTTGAAATTAAGTCTCCACACAAAATAACAACAGAATCTTCTAAACATAATAGACTTGCAATCAAATATAACCTGTAAATAAGACAGTGCATGGGTACAGAATAAATGATGTATACTCTAGAATCAATACATTGAGTTCATTGAAATGTAAAAATGAAACTTTGTCATTAATACATTGCTCACTGCTTTTGTGTTACAAACTTATAACTGTATTGTCACTAATGCGCTAATCATTTGAACAATATGAACATATGCATATAACGTCGTTGTTGAAAATGTCATAAACATTTAAATATAGTCTCTACTAATTATGATATAAACATATGTACATGCCACTATAACCACTACCAGTGTTGGCATAAACAAGAGAATGTACGCATACCGTAATTTCTAGTGATAGTTTTGTTTGTTTGTTTG